TTCTCCCGGTTCCCAAGACGCAATGATGTTTGAGAGAGTAGATAGGAGTATAATGTGAGAGATATAAACGTGTGGGCGACAATTCCCTGTAGGGTGTTTCTTGGTTTTGTGTGGGGCTGGGAGCGGAATCATAACCCTGTACCCTCCACCACATGACGAGCATATATTCCCTCATCATTGGTCACTCCACCAATCTCCTCCACAGCTTGTCGCGCATAGATTACTCCCATCACTGGCCACCTCCCATCTCCTCCTCCACGTGTGGAGCTTATCATACCTCCCTCACTTGTCACTTCCCCAATCTCCTCCTCCACTTGTCGCACTTATAATACCTTCCTCACGTGTCACCTCCCCCTTCTCCTCCCCCACTTGTGGCGTTTATTATACCTCCTTCTTTTGTCCACCCCCCCCCCGCCCCCCCCCCCGGCCCGAGGTGTTGGCTGCAGACGGGTGAGGAGCAACGCCGTGTGTTCTGCTCGGCTCACTTCAACCTGTAATTACTGTCACACTTTGAACACAGCGACCATTTGTCCGTTTGTGAGGATGCTTTATTTCAGGGAGGGCAGATTACAGGTGAGAGTCACAGGGGGGACGAGTCCGTGTGTCCTTAGAAACAGAACAAGAGTTAGTTAGAACCTACTTCTCCTTCTCAGCTTGAACCAACATCAGTTTCCTTCAACTGTTTCATCTTTGTGTGTTGTGAGAAGTGTTTATTTCACCTGTGTTTAACAATGGCCGCCGCGGCCATGACCGTGACCACGGCCGTGACCACGACCATGACCGTGGCCGTGACCGTGCTCTTTCTTGTGCCCGCGATGTTTCCTGCGTCTGCCACCGTGCCCGTCGTCGCTGCCGCTGCCGCTCCCACTTCCGCTGCTGCTGTCGCGACGACGGGGGCTTTGTTTGCGGTTTCCATGGCAATCGGGGCTGCTGCGCCTCTGCCTGTCGCCGTCATCTCTGTTGCGACCCCCACCTTTGCAGTCTTTGCCATCGTCGTCACGGCGACCTCCTCCATGGCGGTCTTTACCGTCATCTCCACGGCGGCCGTCGTCACGGCGACCTCCTCCACAGCCATCTTTACCGTCATCTCCACGGCGGTCGTCGTCACGGCGACCCCCTTGGCGGCAGTCTTCCCCGTCCTCTCCATGACGATCGTCGTCACGGCGACCCCCAGCGGGGCCACAGTCGAGACTTGCCTCCGGACCGGAGGTCGTGGTCGCGGCCCCCGCGAGGCCCCTGGTCCTCTGGTCTGGAGTCCAGGTCGTAGCCACAGGGGTGTGTGGCTGCGGGAGCACCAATCAGAATCAGAGAGTGGACACATTTCCAGATGATGAACATGCAGGTGAAGCGTCTTACGTTTGTTGGGGTCGATGTTGCTGAACATGTCGACGGCGTCGCTCGTCGTGTCTCCGAAGAAGGAAACAGGGAGGCGCCCAGTTACATTTCAGTCAGACCAGTTCGGCGGGATCGTTCCAACCGCCATCATGAGAAACACACACTTTATTTTCTACAGACGTTCTATCTGCATCCCGTGATGTTTGGAAACATTAAAGTTAAAGTCGATTCTTTAACAAAACACTTGTTTGATCCTTTTTCCTCAGCGTGTCTAACTTCACTCACACGAGTAAACAAGTCAAAACTTAAGTTCCAGATTTGCAAGAAATCAATAATCAATAAATAACGAATGAAAACATGTTAATCGACGGGCTCTTGTGTGATTCTTAAGTGGGCCGGACGCTGCCGGAGGTCTGCAGAGGAGCCGCGTACTCACCTGAGAAGCTTCCCGGTCGAAGAGTCGCGTGACCTGATGCTCGACGCTTAAAACCTCACACCTGCATTCCTGCGCCATGACGTCACCGCTGGAGTCACGAATGCACGTGTTGATCCTCGTGATCAATTAGATCCAAATGAATCATGTTCAATGTGAGTCTCGATCATTTGCACTGCGGGAACTTGTTCTTTTCTTCAGTGTTTGGACTTTCTGCTACTTTATACTTTATATTTATACGTTTCCTCCTCTTCTCCGCCACTAAATGACGGTGGACAAACCCTCCCAGATGCGCGCTCCCGCCCCCCAGTGGACCGGGTGCATATTGTGGCTGGTCCGTGCGTGTGTTCGTGCGCGCACTCCCCGTGCACGTGGTGCGCGTTTCCCGGCGGTGAACCGTCGGAACCGTCTGAGGGGACAGCAGCTGCTTCTGAAGGCTCGGAGGAGGAGAGAAGCTCCCGGTTGCTCTGCGGAGGAGGAGGAGATCGAGCGCGCGCCCTCACCTGTCGGAGGCGCACAGGTGTGTTGTTGAGAGCTCGAGGCGTCTCTCTTTATGGTTGTTGGTGCTGCCTCGTGTTCATTCTGATCAGCTTCATCGATCAGCCAAACGTCACGTGACTTTTATTTGGACTTGTAGGGTAGTTTCTTTATAAAATGTGTTTTCTGATTTCAAGCCGATTATTAATCCTTAAAAGCACAAAAATGCAAAAACAAAATACTGTGTGTTTTAATTCATGGTTTCAAGTCTTGATTAAAACGCAGTGCAGCGTCGTTCTCTTGATTGTTGTATCATGATGTACTGTCTACACCTCCCGACCTCCTGCTGCGCCGCGCGTCGTTTCTGCTGGAGGCATGAAGTGGTGGAGGAAGGTGGAGGTGTGGAGAGGCTCGGAGCAGAAGAGCAGGAAGGCGGAGGAAGGAGAGGTGGTGCAGATGCTGCTCCGGGGCAACGCCCCCTGGGGCTTCACCCTGAGGGGGGGCACGGAGCACCGAGGGCCTCTGGTCACCACAAAGGTGAGAAATAGAGAATCAAGAACATCTAATAGTTCATATTCTGTCCATCGGCGTCTCAATCGTTAGATTAGATTAGTGGTTTTTATGCGTTGAGCTCGTGTCTCTAACATGGAGCTTTAATGCAGCCCATCTCAGGTTGCAAGAGGAACAGTATTTAATATTTAATAAGAGCTCTCAGGTAGCTGACCTGGATGAACCCTCCCCTCAGGGAGGAGACTCGTATGAAATAAGGCGCAAACGTAAAAGAATAGAGAGAGAAAAGCATACGTCATTAAAAACATCACTTTCTGCAACGGACAATTAAAACAAAATGCGTGTGCAAGGAAAATACGGACAAATCATTAAAACGTTAAAAATCAAATGTAGAGAAAAGACAAAAGGTGCAAAATGACGGGCTGTGGCGGTGGTGCTGTGACGGCGCTGACGCGGTCGTGGTGGTGTCTTCAGGTGGAGCGGGGCAGCGTGGCGGCCGCCGACGAGCAGGAGGCCGTCCGGCTGGTGAGGAGCCGCAGCGCGCTGAGCCTGCTGGTCCGCAGGTAACTGGTACCGGTCCAGCGATCCACTGTTCTGGTGCATCCTGCAGACGGCCCCCCTCAGCGCCCCCTGGTGTCGGTGTGTGTGTCCTGCAGAATGCATTCTCTCGAACCTTTTCACGGTGCATCGTTTCCAAGGAGACACTTCTTTCTGAATTCTCTCTCTCGCGCGACTGTCGGGTGTAAAACTTTAAGGCTGATGAGTGAGACGCATCTATTCTCCTCCACCTCGGTGTTTATGCTAAGCCCGAAGCAGTTAGAATATCAAATATGAACACCGATGTGCTCGCATGTTGGTGACCTCGGGGAGGAGGTCACCAACAGGTCAGCCCGTCTTTAAGTCAGACTCGGGCGACACTTTGAGGAAGGGGATAAAAGTTGTGAAAGGTCCGAGAGCAGAAGAATCCGCCTGTTTTCCTTCTTCAACTATTCGCTGAGCGGCGTCTTAAGGCCTGAATCCAATTACGAGCTGCAAAGCCACACGTGGGCTCAGCTTTGCAGAGTGGGTCGGGTCACTGGGAGGGATGGGGGGGGGGGGCGCTGGTGTGCTCCCCCTCCCCCCCTCTGCTGAGGGAGGTCCGTGTGGGAGTGGGAGGGGGGGTCATGGAGCCCATGGGAGGCCGGTTCCAGAGGGACGCCTCCCAAACCA